TACTAACTTGAGTAGCACTTCTTTTCCTACTGGACTGAGCAGCCTTTCCTTCCAGTGGTTCAGTTTCCTTGCGATCTTTTCCTTGATATATTTGAAGACTGCACTCTTTGATCTCCCCAATCACCATAGGCAGTCCCAAGTATTGACTCTTCTTTACTTGTTTCATTCCTCCCATTACATGTAGGATCTGCTGTCTTACCTCCCCCTCGTATTCTTGCTAAAAAAAGATTGAGAATTTATCAACATTGATCACTTGGGCAGGAGCCTTTCCATAATCCTCTATCACTTGTACTACTGCTTTTGCTTCCTGCACACTTACTTTACAAAAAATTAGAGAGTTATTTGCAAAGAAGAGATGGGTTAGGGTAGGGCCTTTTTGAGCAATTTTCATACCCGAAATTTGGTGTTTATCCTTAGCCCGGTGTAAGAGACTAGTAAAACCTTTACACAAATTAAAAAGAGGTATGAGGATAGGGGTCTCCTTGTCTTATTCCTCTAGTGGGCCTAAAATGACCTCTTTTCTCCCCATTTATGTTCACACTAAACGAAACAGTAGTTATGCATTCCATAATCCATTTGATCCACTGCATACAAAAACCTATTTTTTCCATGATCTTGGCTAAGAAGCCCCATTCTACCCGATCATAGGCTTTTAACATGTCCAATTTTATTGCCATGTAAGATTCTTTTCCATTCCTTTTTCTGTTTAACCAGTGGATGTATTCATGAGCCATAAGGACATTGTCAATGATTTGTCGTCCAGGCACAAAAGCTGATTGATTCTGGCTTATACACTGTCCTAGTATAGGCTTTAGTCTATTAACTAGTATCTTACTGATGATCTTATAGAACACATTGCACAGACTGATAGGCCTAAGTTGAGACACAAAAATTGGGTGCTCTACCTTAGGGAGTAGAGAAATGAGAGTTTCATTAAAAGCTTTCAGAATTTTACCAGAGCGAAAGAAACTCAAGACAGCTCTTATCACATCATTTTTAATGATATTCCAAAATCTTTGGAAAAAGAAAGGGGACATACCGTCAGGTCCTGGTGCTTTATTTGGATGCATGGAGAACACTGCTTCCTTTATCTCAGTTTCATATATTGGTCTGATCAGTTTCCTGTTCATCTGGTTAGAGATAGTCTATGGAACGTTCCTCAAAAGCTCACCCTCTCCCCTTGGATTTGAAGTAGTGAAGATATTCCTGAAGTACTCTGTTATCTCTCCTTACATCTCTCCCTTAGACTCACACCAGCTCCCATCTTCTCTCTGGAGTGTAGTTATATTATTTTTCTTCATTCTAGCAGTCACACTCACATTATTCACCCAATTCAATAAACATTTTTTTCTCTCTCATGGTATTAGAGTAAAGGCTTGCTCTTTGCTCTTGATTCTTTTCTTTTCCATCTTATTCTTCAATCTTCAACAAAATTTCCCATTCCATTAACTTCAATGGCTAACAATAATACTCAAATCACCATTCCCAATGTTCAAGAACCCTCAAATTCATTAACCATGATTACTATTCAAAACTTCATTAAACTTACACCCACCAAATATCTTTCTTGGAATACCCAAGTGAAAGCCATTTTCATCGGCTATGATTTACAAAAATTTATTGATGGATCTCACCCTATTCCTCGGCTCACCATCACCATCAATAACGCTAATTCCACCAATCCTACATACCAAACATAGTTATACCAAGATAAATTATTATTTGAAGGTTGGCATTCTCTCTTCTTCTGTAGTTCTTCTGATCTCCCATTCTAAAGCCTTTTATGAAGCCTAGCATATACTTGGCAACACCTATGTTCGACCATCTCGTGGCCATATCAAGCAACTCAAAGGTCATCCTAAAAATATCACTCAAGATTCTCAATCCATTACAAACTACAGGTAGTCTATTAAAACCAAAGCCGATAAACTTGCTACTCTTGGTAAGCCTGTTGACCACGAAGATTTGATTGAAAAAGTACTTGAAGGCCTTGATAAAAATTATCAATCCGTTATTGATGTTGTCAATAGTTGTAATTCTACCATTTATTTTGATGAACCCCATAAAAAACTCATTAACAAAGAACTATCTCTCAACAACAAAATAAGTCTTCCACATCTACTGGCATTTGCTCATCTCACTATGTTCGCTTCACTCCATGGTCAATTGCCAATCACACTCCTCAACTTCCTAGAACCACACCAACACCCACTCAAGGTATCCCAAGAAATACTTCCACCAACCCTCATAATACCCATCCTCCTGCTCGTCCATTCTTGGTCGTTGTCAACGATGCAGTACTCAAGGACATGTAGTCTCATATTGTCCCTTTACAAACAACAGTTCCCTCATGTGCAACATTTTCCTTGTCTTGATAATTCATCACAATTTTGATCACAACGGCTCCCTAGCAAGTTCAAACAACTATTGCAACCACTCCTCTCTCCAACACAACATGGCTACTTGATAGTTATGCCTCCTATCATGTCATCAGCAACCTTAACAATCTTGCTCTCCATAGTCTTTATGATGGTACATATGAAATTATGATTGACGATAGCTTTGGACTTCCCATATCCCATACTGGTTCTACCTTTTTTACCACTTTGTCTCACTTTTTTACCCTATCTAATGCTCCCTGTGTTCCTACTATGAAACGTAACCTTATTTCTATCTCCCAATTTTGCAAGATTAACAATACTTTCATTGAGTTCTTACTCTCTTCTTTTCATGTGAACGATCTTCATACTAAGGAAATCCTTTTGTAGGATTAGACTAAGGATGGGATTAGACTAAGGATGGTGTGTATGAATGACCACATCCACTGCTCAACCATCTTTAATAACATTTTCTGGTGTCAAGACCACTTTGTCGGAGTGGCATCATAGGTTAGGTCATCCTTCATTATCAATCTTCAAACATATTATTTCTTCGTCCAATTTAGATGTCTCTCATACTTCCAACTTAAATTTCAATTGTAATTCATGTCAATGTAACAAAAGTGATAACTTACCAATTTCTACTTCTACTCTCTCTACCACTCCACCTCTTGAAATTATATTCACTGATATATGGATATCACTGATCCATTCTGTTGACAACTTTAAATACTATATCATCTTTGTCGATTATTTTACAAAATACATCTGGTTTTATCCCCTTAAACGCAAATTTGAAACACATGATGTCTTTGTGTGCTTTAAGGTTCTAGTAGAAAATTTCTTTAATCGTCCAATCAAAATACTTTACTCTAACAATGGGAGGAAATATCAAACTCTCTCTTTATTCTTAACCATCAACGGGATCTCACACCTTGCTTTTCCACCTCATACTCTTGAACAAAATGGGTACTCTAAAAGCTGTCATCGTCACATTATTGAAACAGGTCTCTCTTCCTACCCATACATCTATGCCTTTATCATACTGACCTTTTGCCTTTTCTACTATCTTCTATCTCATCAATCGCCTCCCTACACTCACTTTAAACCACATTTCCCTATATTTCAAAATTTTTAACACATTTTTCAACCATTCCAAACTCTAAAATTTTGGATGTCTCTGCTATCCTTGGCTTTGCCTATACACATTCCACAAACTCAAGTCTTGATCTTCTCCTTGTGTCTTTGTCGAGTATTCTTCCACTCAAAGTGCCTATCTGTACTTTGACACATCTACCGCTCGTTCATACATTTTTTATCATCTCCGCTTTGTTGAGTCCATTTTGTCTTCGCTACTTCTCATACTTTTCTTCCTCATGCCACTCTATCTACCATCTCTGAGTAATGCTCTATGAGCTTACCAAGTGGCCACGCCATTCCTAGATGCAAATCTTGCTTCTTCATTAAATCTACCAACTCCTACCACTTCCAGCCAACCCCCGGACCCATCTCAAAATTTTGCCTCTAGTGCATCCATTCTAGTGCACTTACACCAGAACCTGATATCCATTCTAGTGCACCCATACTATACCAAAAATTGAAAGAGATCGTGACAATGACTCATCACTTCTACCTAATCAAACCAACCCTAATCACTCACCTGACATCTCATTCTCACCTGGTGTTAAAGTCACTTACTCCAAACACAATATCTATAAATCAATTCAGAAACTTAACCTCATTACCCACCTCCAATAACTTACCTTTGAACCCACCACTATTACCCAAGCCATCAAATACCCCAAATGGCGCAAAACTATGTCCAACGAGTTTGATGTTTTATTTCGCAGTGGGACATGAGAACTAGTGGCTTCCCATCCCACTCAAAATATGGTTGGTTGTAAGTAGATATTTGTTGAGATATGCCAACTTTTCCTACAGATTTTATCAGATTGAGTTTGATATCAAAATAATTTAGTTACTAGAAAAATAAGAATATTTGTTAACCAAAAATCATGTTAATTTGTTAATAAATATTTTAGCTAAGATTTGCTAATAGAAGAAAATTATATTTTGTTGAGATTTTTAAGATAATTGTTAGTTGAATATTTTGTTAGTTTATTTTATGTAATCGCTATCAATAGTGAGTTAATTAATGAATAACATAAGCTTATTTTTCACCTTCAATACAAGTTTTTTGTAAACTTTTTTTGCTACACTAAGGTGTTGTTTCTTAGTGTATGCTCTAAAAAATCAACAAAGTGGTATCAAGACCCTAAATTTTAAGGGTCTGTTTCTTTGAGAGTTAGTGAACCTGGTGAGAATCCCTTTTTCACTATAAATTATACATTTAAGTCTTCAACATTAAAATGTCAGGAAACAACTTCTTGTCCAATTCTCCAAGTTTCACTAGTGACAACTACCAAATTTGTGCTGTCAAAATAAAGTCATATTTGGTGACTAATGATCTTTGGGATATGGTAGAGACAAATCCTATTCCTGAATTGTCAGAAAATTCAACTATTGCAGGGATGAGAGTCCATAGGGATGTAGTCAAAATGAGATAAAAAAACCATGACATGCATTCATTCAGCAGTTTTTGATGTAGTATTTACAAAAATTATGACTTGTGAAACTGCAAAGGAAGTTTGGGATTCTCTCACAGTGGCTTTTCAAGACAATGACAGAATAAGACAAATGCAAGTTTTGAACCTTATGAGAGAATTTGAACTTCTTAGGATGAAAAACAAAGAAAACATTAAAGAGTATTCTGACAGACTCTTAAATGTTGTGAACAAAATTAGGTTGATTGAAGAACAGCTTTCGGATAGCAGAGTTGTAGAGAAAGTCTTGGTAAGTTTACCAGAAAGGTTTGAATCCAAGATTTCCTCCCTTGAAGATTCAGGGGATCTCTCTCGGATAACCTTTCTAGAATTGATCAATGCTTTAGAGGTACAAGAACAAAAACGAACCATAAGAACTGAAGAAGTCATTGAAGGTGCTTTTCAAGCAACAAATAAGGATCAAATTCAACAAAGTGGTAGAAATGACCAAAAGAAAAATAGCAAAGATGAGAAGAAAAATAGCAAAAATCCTCCGTATTCATACTGTAAGAAAACGTCACATCTTTCAATATATTGTTGGTTTAGACCTGACATTCAATGTAAGTTTTGTAGGCAAATGATACATATGGAGAGAGTTTGAAAAAATAAAAGAAAAAGAGGACATCAAACTCAGATGGTTGATGAACAAGATGGGGAGCAACTTTTCGTGGCCACTTATTTTGCAAACAATAATTTTAGTACTGAAACTTGGCTAATAGATAGTGGTTGCACTCATCACATAGCATATGATGAATCTATATTTCAAAAACTTGATAAATTGCAAATCTCCAAAGTCAGAATTGGAAATGGAGGTTATATTGAGGTGAAAGGCAAAGGTAGTGTTACTATTGATTATGGTTCAAGTAGCAAAATTATTTCTGATTTTTTGTATGCACCTGAAATTAATCAAAATCTATTAAGTGCTGGACAGTTATTAGAGAAGAATTATTGAGATGAGAAGTAGGGTTGTTTAAGTTTTTAACTACTGCTCTGTACATCTTTAAATTTTACAAAAGAAAAACAACGTGAAAGGCATACGAGATTACTTTCAATTCCTCTTGTACAAAGAATAAGGTTGCACGAGAGTTTTTTTTTTTAAATAATGTATTAGGCACACTTAAGATATTTGCATCGTACTACAAATTAAGCTATTGACAAGTTGTTCACTCTTAGAATGATCAAGTATTCTTTTATTACTATTGATTGGAATTTAATTTTCCTTCTCTTTTGATTGGCAAGCTATAGAAAAGACATGATCTTCTACTGTTGACTTTAAAGGGTGCAAAGAGAAAACAGTTATTGTGGTTGACCACGCAATGTACTAGTATTTTAAGCACTATTGTGATTTTTTTAATAACAATTAATATAAAAAATAGTTAAAGTGATTTTGTGAAGCAATCAAAAAAGTGGGGAGAAAACATACCGGTTCGCCAATGGAGAGAATTTGAAGTATAAGGGCTCCAATTTGAGTTCCTTTAAAGTTCAAGTGGAAACGTCAAAAACAATTTTTGCTTTATATTTACAACTTGTTTGACTAACTTCATTATCTGTTGAATAGCTAATATTAGCACCAACATTATAGTGTGTATTGGCAGTGTAGTAATTTAATCCAAGAAAATCCAGGGACCCTTTCACCAATTTTGATTGCTTCGGAGTGAATTTTGGTAACCTTTTGCCCACAAGACGACGCATGCTTTTGGGATAATCACCAAAAACTAATGGATCCAAAAACCTGTTAAGCCACAAAAATTTTATCTAGTTTGCAGTTTTTTTTTTTGCTAATCATAGAAATAATCGTCACGTGAAATTAAAATTGGGAGGAGAAAAAAAAAAAAAGTGCTGCACTTACCATCCGTACATGAAGTCTAGTGCTCGTTGGGCTGCTTCGATATCCGCTTTGCTATTGGAATAGGGAACGAACCAATGAGGTACGAGCACTATCCCTATGTCACCTTTTTGGGATGGCTGTACAAAGAAAGAACAAATTTTAAAATAAATAAATGACCATTGACCGTAATGTTACTTTGCTGTTGTAATACTGCCCTTTAATTAATTGAAGAAAAATGGTTGCTATGGAATCAAAAGAAAATAAGAGAAAAAGAAATTTGTAGCTATCAATTTGTTTGACTAACCATACCCACCCAAAGAAAGTGTAATTGAGGAAAAGAACGAAAGGATTTAGTAATTGTTAATGACTAGAGTTAATTTTTTTTTTTTTTGTATATGCAAAAGTTTCTGACTCATCTATAATTCTACACTAGGCATTTTGTGTTGCATCAGCCATATGAATTGGTTAGTGAAAAATTTGATCCTAGACTGTATATGATAATACAAAATGAGTATCCAATTGCTCTAAGACCTTGTTTGTATTGCAACTTTTTAAAGTTTATATTTTATAAAAAAAAATATATTGTAATGGTGTGATGTATGTATGGTAATAAGTTGATTAAAAAATGTATTGAAGAAATTTTTCTGCGAAAACTCATAATCCAAATCAGGTTTAGGTTACATTAGCAAAATTATAGAATAAGCATCTATATACTCATTAGTTAAAGAATTAAGCATAGAAAAGTAGATAAATAAACAAAATCATGATATCTTTTTTACCATTTAATTAATATATATTTATGGTGTTCTAACCTTGTACTTCTCCCAATACAATTTAGCAATTCCTCCATGAGAAAGAAGAATGTTGTGGGCAACCAAGTAAGGCTCAGTTGCAGAGCTGCCCGCAGGACAGTCATTGTTCCTCCATGCAGAACACCGGCCAGGCGCCAAACTGCCCGTGTGATAGCCGCCTTGACTGAAGGTCCATGGCTCATTAAAGGTAGCCCAGTGCTTCACTCTATCACCAAAATTCATTGAAACAAAGCTCTGCGAAATCCAGAAAATCAGTCCTGCCAATAAGAAGGGCCAGATGTTAAAAAACATGAATTTCCCACTTCCTCTTCTTATTCAACTCTAATCAATAAAACAAGTCATGTGTTTAATTTTCTTTATTTTTGTGTTCATGGTTCTTCATGGAATGTGAATTATGATTAGTGCAAATATTTTCTTACGTGATACGAGGGCTTAGAAAGCCACCATATTCATCTTCAAGTGGTTGAGGACGATCCCAATGGAAGATTGTTGCAAATGGTGTAATACCTGCTATAGATCGAGCGAGGGATCAAGTTTGGTGGAAAAAAAAACCCTAAAATGAATGTTAGAATGGAAGTTAATTTTTTTTAATTAATATTCTGATATTCTATTTACTATTTGCTATAAGATGGTTGATGACGCTGTTGTAGAAAGCAATCCCTGCCTTGTTCACTCCTTTACTTAGCTTTCCAGCTGAAATTCAAACATATAATAAACTACCTCAAATTCAGGGCACTGGCTCAGGCTTATACTGGGATTTTGTGCACTAATTTCACATTAATTTGTTGGGGCTTTTGGGCGAAAAAGAAAAAAGATAAACTAACGCAAGGATAATTTAAAGCACTGCTTCTACTAATGGCTACAAAAATATAAATAATTTGGTTATGGTGCTTTGTAATTGTAAAACACAGTACGAATTTTGTATGGAAGATGGGCTTTTCTTTCAAGATATCCCATTGCCAATGGCGAACCTATTGAAATTTGACACACTTGCACTTTCATTTCATCATTTGTAATTCTAGATTGTCGATGAAAATTGATAACATTTATTAGAACAAAATTAATGTGAAACAAATCTTACTCGGTATAACTCTTGGCCACGAGATGGATAATCTGAAGCCATCTAACCCCAAGAATTTCATCAGTTGAATGTCCTCCTGCATTTGACCATGGCCTTTTTTACTCAAAATTTAGATCTTTTAAAAAAGTAACTCCTTCAAAGATTAACAAAAAGCTAAGAGCTGCAAATTATCTCTGAATTAATTACATACCTTGTAACGATGATAAAAATCATCAGCTACATCACCGGCGGTATGATCTGATATTTTATCTGTGATTTAAAAATTTCAAAGAGATTAATTTTATGAGATTGAGTTTTTTTAATTATCATTTAACTATGTTGAATGATTTGTTATCATTTTTTCCCGTCGTTTAGCATGCAAGGAATGTCTAGAGTAGTGAACTCTTTCTACCTAGATTACCTTTTCAACTAGAATATTAGGAAGACAAATTTATTATGGTCAGGTACACAAGTCGGAATGGAATATTCATTTGTTTCCCAATATCTTGTATAATCAACATTTAGATATCAAAGTGAAAATCATACAAATTTGACTTAATTGTACGGATTAGTTTATAGGATATAACATGTTTTATTACTTTTGTTCTATCTGTTCTACTATGTTATTTGTTTATTTACATAAAATTTTGACATTGTTTGCTTTTAGAATAATTGAGGATTGATATTAAAAATTTTCAATTGTAATACTGGATTTATTGTAGCATTTTTATTTTTATGTTAAAATTCTACATCCACCAACAATGTAAAACATAAATTACATGAAGCCAAATAAATATAATATATTTTTAATATTTAATATGTTTTCATTTTTTATATGAAATTGAAAAAAAATTCACACAATTGTAAAGAATAAAGTATTTTAAAACATTTGTTTTATATGGTCCATATAAAACTTGGAGTGAAATGAATAAGTTGAAAATGTCATTTCTTTTTAGACCATTCCTGCATGCCAAACATGGCGTGAGAAGCACTTCAAGAAGCTAATATACAACGGTTGCACCATCTCATGCTATGTAGTGAATATGTTTTCAGTCTTTAGAGGCAGCAAATATTGGTAGATATATAAAACTAGGGAGTTAAAAACTATACTAAAAGCACTTAGAGAGAGAAAGAGAGAGAGAGACTTGGATAAGCATGATCACGTTGCCAAGGTAATAAGCAGACAAAGAAATTTGCCTCTACCTAGTAATATGAAGTGTGGTGGGAAACTTTTGAGGCCAAAAGTTGAAATATTTTTGGGTTCTTCAGCAAATGAAAGCTCACTCAAAGAAGACAAGAACAGAACAATAAATAGGAGGCCATGGAAAGCAATGCGTTGATATGCCATGGCTAGCTATTTGGCTGGTTAGCTTCAATGTCTTCAATTGTACAAAGTTCCCTTTTTATAGTTGCCAAAAATAAGAGGCAAATTCCGAAAATCCTTTTGCTACAAGCGTAAATATATTTCATAAAAAAATTTTAGCGTGGACCCTAATGATCATCATTTCCATGATTAGTTGCTTGTGGAAATAACGTTTTGATTTGTTAATGATTATTGAAATCCTTCAGAGTTGGTTGAAGGATCATAAACTTCTTACTTACAATACTGCATCTAGTTTTGGCCGTGATTAACAAATTTTTCACAAGAAACTGTAATATTCTTTTAAAACTTTTGAATTGATCAATCATTTTCGAAAGTTATTTTTGTAACCAATTTGGGAACTCCTATTAGTATGTGGACGTCTCGTGGTTGTACTCTTCAACTTTCTATCTATGAAAAATGACATCATCTTATATTTTTGAGTTAGAAGTTTTCTCCTATATGAATTAAGATTTTAAAAAGACTTTGATTAATTTCATTGAAATACTACTCATTTTCGAACTTTAAAACACAATTTTGATTTATTTTCAAGGTTTATGACTTATTCAAGTAAATAATTGAAAGGTAAAAAGAAAAGTAAAAGCTCAGTTACTTGAATAAGTTTAATGTAAAACTCATATCAATTCAGACCACAATCAACAGAGCTTTTCACATATTAATTGTATTATACTCGTAATTCCAGAATAAGACATTCCATAGCCACCAAAAGATAATCCACAGTTTTTGTAAAACAAGTACGTACAGTTGGGTGGTCGGTCAGTTTGATTGTTGTTGCTTGGCTGTAAGCTTCTCAATTATAGCTATTTATCAAGAATATAAATCATTCCTTGGCCCCAGAAAACCCCTAATTAAATGTAAAACAAGTACAATG